ACGTAATCAACGTAATAAATGTGCCAAAATAAAATGGGCAATTCTAATATTTATTTTTATTCCAATCTTTTACATTCTTATTTCATGAAATTTCTGTGGAAGAAAATCTCATTTGGGAGTAGAAATTATAGAATTTTATCAGTATATCCGCAGTCTCTCTGCGAGAGATTTCCAGGAAGTTGAATTTTTTATACTCTATCTACTTCTGTCTCCAATGTTTTAAATAATCTTCCAATAACATCCAAAAATTATTTATTATTTCTTTGATCAATGATAGGTACGCTTGTTCGATTTTTTTTCATAAATCAATAAATTAATAAACTTTTTTCTTATATAATAATGCAGAATCTATCGTAATTTTCAATCTCAAATAATTCCTAGAAAAATATTTTGTGCATATACTATATATATAGTGATACGTTTTATGTCGATGCTTCTTTCCTATTCTCGCTGAGTTTTGTAATGAGAAAGACAATCTTGCAGAAAGATAATGATACACGTGAGGTCTCTAATCAAAAGAGCAGAGCAAAAAGGTAAAAAAGAGCCCATAATTGTTCGGTCGATGCGCACTTGTATAGTAAATCTACGTTTAGCTAGGCCGAACGCATTGGCAATAAATGGGGGGATGCGCAGATAGCAAATGCGTACGGAGGGATTTCACGAGGGCAATCTCGCATTTGATTCGATTACTTGCACGCCGTGCTGCTCGTGCGCGGATTAAGTAATTCATACGACGACCCGTTCCTTCGTTCCCCATTCTGCGCTTTAATGACTAGCGCGAACGGCGAAACGTATAACACCCGGCGTGAAAACTTGGCCCGGAAACTCGCCTTTTGAAATTAACGCGAAAACGATCTCTATCGCGCGAATTTTCTCATTTCGGCGCCCGGTTCCAGCCACGCTTTTCCTTTTAAAATTTCACCTTTTGTGAAATTCATTCGCGACGCTTGTGTAATTTTGATAGCGGTTTGGATAGGCGATGAAGAACAAGTAATAATTGTTTTGAATATTAAGCTGAATGCAAACCCGCTTCAAACCGTCTGCGTAAAATGACATGTGAACCAATTGATTCGAGAAAAAACTAAAAGGGGAAGCTAAAGAAGAAAAAAATAAAATATTCATTTCGCGAATATAGCAGTTTCTGAATAACATAATACTCGAGCGATTTAGTGCGGTTTTATACAATATGAAAAATATAATGTCTATTATAGCCGTAATTTAAAGAGCGATGAGATCATTACACATATTCTAGCAGTAGACTCTTTCGCGGAATACCATTACAGCAAGCGCCACAGGGGGATTGACAGCTATAGTGGACATCGTTAAATGCTTTACCGCGATGTGGTTGTTCCTAGCGCTCGGCGCGCGAAATCCACAGGCACGGCATGCAAATCTCACCGGATTCGGTCTTAACACTCGGCGAACAGAGAGTAAGATACACTAAAGCGGGGCGCCGACGATGTTGCAAACGTTATGAGAACAAGCCCTTTCGCCGGTGAACTATCATAGCGGTTGGCTAGATGGTCGGTGAGGTAGCTGGCCGGCCATACCCTTTCACATTTAGTCCCGGACTCGTTATGCAACGTGAGGGCTACGAGCATTGAGTTACAGTTAACTTTAAGTTACCCTGGAACTTCCCGTCCCGGAACTTCCGGAAAACCGCCGTACGGACGGCCGCTACACGTTCCCCGGAAAGATCCATTTCCTCGTCCTGTAAACCCCACGGGGCGAAAACCCGAAAAGCGAAAACTGAATTGATGTATATTTATCCGGTTCTTTCTGATTCTCTATTCTCGTGCTCACCGCCATGTCATTATTAAATCAAGAGGCATTACTATTTCGAATAAGTGCAGGTGACCCGCATCCGTCATCTTGTATAATTCGTCAGGAAATTGGATCGAGGCTGCATAAATAATCACTACGGAAGTTCACTTTATATCTTCAATAAAGAAATCCGATTATAATCAAATCGATTCCAATTCTAATAATTATTGTATATTAAAGACGAAATGCGAAATAGATAACCGGATGGATTAATAATTCCGATAAAGTAAATAATGCTTTTTATGTTTATCTTTATCTTCATGTTGTATATTTTAAATATCTTTTTAAATATGTAATATATCGCAAAATATCTATCAAACAAATGAATACTGCATCTGGTAAAGAAATATGTAATAGAGATAACTGATAGAGATACCTCGAGAGATACTCTTCGTTAATAAACTGCATGGCTTTATTAATCCGATGTTCTGATGTACATTGTCGAGGAATATACGCAACAAAATTTCAATTCGACGTGTTTTCGTGTCCGACATTTTCTGTAGTCATTCACCGAAAACAATTTCATCATTTCCGTATCGTCATTTCCGTTAACGCAATTTAAGTTTTAATGATGTCAAAGCATAGATCCGTAGAACAGATACAAATGAAACAAAAATATATTCCTCCGGAATAATTTAACTCACCGAATGTCTGATACGTTAACTATAATTAGTACTCTGATCACTAAACGACCCAAAGTAGCTAGAAATCTTGTGTTAAAAAAATAATTTTGACTTACTCGCTATGAAAATTATTATACGAGGGATCACGTAGAACAGGGGAAACGAAATACACCCTACTAGGCCCCGTGGAAGGTAGACGGAAGGTTAGTAAAAAGGGAACGAGTTTAGCATCCCGTTGGAAATAGCGACGGCGCGGCGCTCGACGCAGATTCTAAAATACGGGAACTATTAGTCGTAGTTTCCCATGAGCATTACGTTCCCTTATGTGTAAATGATGTAACCCTCCATGGCGGCTTAGTCGACGTAAGCCGCCCGCGTTCAATCTGCACAGGGGATTGAAACTGTTAGGGAAATAATTGCGCGAAATTATCCCTGTTAGACTGATATCAAGAGCAAAAATAATTCCTTCCAAATAGAATTGATTTTAACATATCTGAAGATGAATCAAAGGAAGATAATTTTTATAAGCATTATTTTCTCGTAAAAAGGAATATGAACATATATAGAAAATCAGATATTATATTTCTAACGTTGTAACATCATGACGAGAAATTATTTGATTTGTAAAATAACTCTTTAAATGTGTTAAAAAATGTCAGTTTCTTAATAAGGGAAAGATACTTGCGTTATTAATTATACAATCTTCCTCTACATTGCATTATTAATATTTCGAAATTTTTCATAGTCTTTCTGTTGCGGCTGCTAATTTGCAACCATTGTGCGTGCAACCCGCATTTAAAATTGCACACGTACGCGACTGTTGCACGTATGTAAGTTATGGCGTTGCAACCTCGGAGCAACAAGCGAGCGCACTGTGCGGTACTAAGGGGACAATACGCGAGGAATATGTTCGCTATTTAAAGGAACGATGCCTTGCATGCTTTAAAATTTATGTTTCACGCGAGACCCGTTGAATTTCAACCCACTTTAAAAGTCTAGGCTAAAAACATTACATCGCAAAATCTCACAAGCTTAAATTTTACCGGGTGCTGCGCGATATTGCTAATGATCTGAATCATAAAATTTAAATGTTAGCACAAATGTTAGTTTCTCGGACATTTTTCTTATATATTTATATTTACTTAACGTTATTAAATAAAAACTATTATTTACTATGTAATAGCATAACATATATACATATATATTTAACAAAATAGAAATATATTAAAATCTTTAAAGTAAAACGATAATTTCAGTAACAAGCATACTACAAATCATGTAGTAAAACATAAATTACGAAAATAATACTAAAGCTCATCCCTGTTAGTTTTTCCAGCATAGAGATACAGAAGCAAACTATATCGTCGAAAAAATGCTCAAATGCTGTTCCTGAAATAAGCAACTGAAATAAATACCTATATAGAGAAACATTCAGAGAATCGATAAATTCTAGGAAGATAGGAAATTACCCCCGTCAAATTGTTTCCACCTTTTTGCAATTTTGCAATGCGCGATCCATAACGAGATAATTAAAACAAAAGCCGAGTTGCCAGACAGAAGCAGATTTCATTTCTCCTCCCATCTCATATCAGCACCACCGACGTTGCTCCGCGCACTCTTCGTTTCATTTCGCCCTGAACGGTTTTAGCGCATTCTCCCCATTCCTTTTTATTATTCTTTTTATACTTTTGCTTAAGCGTTATCTATGGTCGGCTGTCAAAGAGAAGATAAAGTTTGACTTTAAATTCTCAAAGCGTTATTCATCGTTTTCTCGATGTTTTTGATAGGCTCGCACTGTTTCAGTCTCAATCCAGTTTCTTTCATCCATTATCTTCAGGGGTAAAGTTATATGCGTCATTGCAGCTGTGCTCAGAAGCGCGGATATCGACGGATATTCACATTACATACAGGTGAATAAAAAAAACATGTCAACCGGGAAATGGTGAAACTGAATTACCACGGATACTATAGAGAATCAACGTGGACCGACCGCGACCCGCGACAATAAAAGCGGAATTTAGAGTCCGGCATAGCTTTCCTTCTCTCGCCGATGCAGCTCGATTTTATAGATTTCCACAGCGAAAAGTGATTGCGAGCTCGTGGGCTTTTTATTTTAAATGTTCAATGAATAGATATCGCATCGTAAATAATACGAATTTGTCTTACGCAATTTAATCATTTTCCTAATATTTAATCTAAATAACTTTTTGTTTCTGCAACCTTACTGTTACTTTGTAACTTTGTTAGTAACTATGTTAGTCAAATTAATTTTCTATTTGGTACATTTTTAATGATCCGATAAATAATTTTTGGCGTTAAAATATTCTATATGAAAGCAGTAGAATTTAAAAAACTAATTGACAGATAAAAGTCACTTTAAATAGTAAGGGATATCCCTTAATATGTCAATATTTTTCCGATTGACATACTTTCGTTGATATTGACATAGACTTATAATAAATGTCGATCACTTTGTAATCGAGGCCATGCATTGACAGCTCTGTTTCCGTTAAACAAATATAAAATGACATATCATGCAGCAGTTTCACTCACAGCAGATCAGCAGCAATGACGGATATTCTTCGCCGCCATTCTCGTCTTTGCCGCTAAGGAAGAGAAACCATTGCCAGGGATCCACTCTGATTCCATATCTGTAATATAAAGTAAAAAGAAATATTTAATTTTTCTCAATTAATTTCGAATATTTAAATAATTTTCAATAAATATTTTCTTACAAACAGCAATAATTTACAATTAAATAATATATGACGAAACTGACATAACATTAATTCTAACAATACAAATGGTATACATGTGAAAATAAATAAATTATATAAATATATTATAGATATATCATATAGAAATATACATATGTATATTAATATATTTTATATTATGCGTGCAAAATAAGATCAAAGTTGATAGATTTATTTATATTTAAAAAGATATGCACAGTTATATCTTGTTGCGTTACAAGGGAAATAAAATCAAGAAATAAGAAAGGATAAATATAAGATAAAACACGCGGCACGTTTTCTATTATAACCTTTAGTTTTTCATGGTTGGTATACTATAAGCGTAATGCAAACTGAAGAAGCAAATACTACATTATTATAGTCTGTCTCTGGTAAGATCTCTTCCACAGAGATGGTTCCAAGCAGGAACAAAAGAAAATAAAGGGAGCAGGTCCGCGTTCTTTGTTCTGAGATAAATAATAACTGTCCCATCGCACCACGCCAGGCAAAGAGGAAGCTCATGCTGGGAAATAAAACGATTTCCCTAGAAAGTCGACTCAATGGAAATGCAGGAAACGTCTGTCCCATGATGATTGACTGTGATCTTGATGTGAATCTGTGATTTATTTTGATGGCGCACGTCGGAAAATATTATAAACGATGCCCGCCGACTAAATCGTGCCGGATTATTTATTGGCAATTTCGTAAAATGGCACTTTCTGCGCGCATACGAATCATTAATTTTTGCACGTAAATCAAACGGAGTTATGCAGAAATGGAACGCGTCTGATAACATAATAAACAAATGGGATATGCTAAACTGCGATATTCGATTAAGTTATGTTTGTCCATACTATAAAAAGCTATATTGATTACAAAAGCTGTACAAAATATGCAAATAGGATTTGCATAAATTTAACTCATGTTTTGTTCATAAATACGAATGCGATAAAGTTAAAATTATAACAAGTAAAGATAATTTGTGTAACGTACGATAATTTGTAACGTGCGGGCTGAAAATTACTCTCTCATTTATTTCGAAGTAGACAAATTGCATTCGACGACTATTATCAGATTATCACTGTTACATCCATAAAAATACGTTGTAATGTGTCTTATCGCTATATTAGCCTGAAAACGCAATTTACGATGGTATCGATCTAAGCCATCGAGAACATTATTTTCTCGCGGGACGCACGAGGTAGGTGTACCGGCCGAAAAAAGGCACTGCACACTAATGGCTTCAGGTCGTACATGCCCGTTAACGATGATAAACGAGGCTTATGTGTCGAGTAATTAAAGAATTCAAAGTCGGCGCGTTGTTTCAGATAGACAATATTTATTGGGACGCAATCACACACACACACACACACACCGACCTAGTTCTCCGCGGAAACGCTATATCGGTCATGTTGACGCAGTTACGGTAATTGGACAATAGCGTGGAAAAAATATGATTCTTGTTCATAATTAATTGGTGCAACGCGCCGTGTGACAGCCGATCGGTGATAATTTATGAAAATATCTTCACATATGTCGATACACACATAAATAATGCAATATACAACATAAATAATGCAAACCCCAGTTTTGATATATAGCAATGTTTAAGTCAATCAAAGGCTATCACTTTGTATGTATGATCATAAATAATGCACGGAAAAAAATTAATTTAATAATAAAAAATCAATCAATTATCTACAAGAGACGCGACAGTGTAATCGCGCCAAGTGTAATTTTATTTTATTGTCAAATCAATCTATCCAAAAGTCAAATAGTAATAGGAAATGCAAATGCAACATTGTTTAGAAAGACAAAACTTTGCATTTTTTATTACATTTTAATAACAAAGTAGCAAATGAAAAGAAGCCAACGTCAAAGAAAGACTATCCAGTAATTCATTCGTGTTCGAAATATTCATTTCAACGACGTAGAAAGATTTATATAGCCAAGAAAGGAAACAATCGTTCAATGTCGATGATTAAACCGATCCGGCGTCGATACGCGTGTACACACGGTGGATGAGTCTCATAAAACATTTTTCGAGTGCTCGAAAGTTAAGGGGATATCGCACTTATCGAAACTCATCGCTTCGAGACGTGAGCAGAAACGATATTAAATTTCTTCCCCGGCGGGAATAGCCGTCTTGATCCGCCCGTTAAATCCACGCTCGTTCTTCGTCCGCCGGAGTTCGTTAATACAGCGTCACGATAAAATCCCCAATTTCACGTCGAACGTGGTGAGAGGGAAACGTCGGGGTCCTGGGGGGGGGGGGGGGGCCCCGCGGGGGGGGGGGGGGGGGGGGGGGGGTGACTCCACGGTGGGTGCGAGAGCGCGCGGAGGTCCAGATTGGAAGAGTTATGGCGCCAATATGGGACGGGCCGGAATGAAAATGTGAACGCGCGAACGATTCGCATTAAATATTAATAACGCGCGAAACGAGACGTCTTCTTCACTTTTATGATTGTAAAGAACGCCGAGGATGATTCTTCTTCTGTGAAATTAATGGCAGGGCCTGAAGGCTCGTTTTGAAGTGTCGGATTGGCTCGGTGAGGCGAGATGGATTGTTTTCAAGGCGAATTGGAGGGGTCGTGAACGCGCGTTGGTTAAAATTTATTTTGATATTTATCTAGATAAAATACATCACAGCTTATTAACGATCCCTTCTAAAATTCATTGTATAATATATAATGTCGATTTATATATTCCGCATAAATTTTTTTGTTGGATGTAGCATTTTTAGTGATTTCAATATGGCATACATTTATAATAAATCCATTTTCATTTATATAGCATCTCTATCATTTTCTTACAAATCAATATATCTTTTCACTTTGCATCTTGCTATTCTTTGCTCAATACCGATCTATCTAAAGAAATGTAAAATACACAATATACAAAGCGATATCCGGTATTGAGACTTATCAAATTTCCAATGACATTAGTTTCTTTCTGCGCTATAATAGATATCGAACTGCAGAATTTATAATCCGGATGAACAATAAACGAGTTTTATGTTCTGACACGATGCAAAAGTCTTTGCGAAAATGGCTGATAAAGTAGGACACGATGGAAATAATCATTACTGAGACAATGTCATATCCATAAGACCAGATCAATTTTTAATGTGTGCTATAAATATGCTATAAATATGACTGAGGTCATGACTAAAATTCAACAATATTATTCTTTATTCTTAGTATATCGGGAAAATTTGATTACGTGAGAGAATATACTAATTTATATACTTTTACATTAAATAAATTTGTATTAAACATAAAGAATTCGTAATTTCAATTTTTTTCTAAAGATTTTTATTTAAAATATATAATACCTTTTCTAAGAATGTAGTATCTAAAAATACATGATGTCGAAAATCTGTGACAGGAATAAACTAATTGTCTCACTTTTCTTATTTATCTTATCCATGGCATTTTTTACTTGTTGATCCGTTTATTACCGCGAAGAAGCAGTAATTTATCATCAAATTATCATAGATCTAATTGTTTAATCATTTCTGCAGACATTTACACTAAAAATAAATCGTAAAATGAGAAAAAAATAATCGACGAAATCGCGTGTCTTGAAATAAACGCACATTCATATCTCCAAATGCATAAATTATGATTGCATGGCGAATCTCTGAAAGTTTTACGAACAATTCACGTAGCTACGAAAGACAAGGAAGGAGAAACTTCAGTAACTTCCTTTACCCACCTCCGCGGACTTTTATCGATAGCGAGGGTCTTTCGTCGAGAGTTCGATTAATTGAGCTCTCTCGCTGCCTTTTTTCACTTCGCAGAGAAGCATCTACCCGTTTTCTTACCGACGTGCTTTTTTTCAGTCGCCAATCTACCCTTTTCTCTTTCCCACCCTCGTCCCATCGATTAATCTCGATCCCAGCAAAATCGTGTCGACAACCTCATCCTCGCGATTCGGCTGCTGCTTGCTCTTGTTCTTCGCGAATCAAGTCTGGAAAAGTTTTTACCGGTTGAAACGAATCAGTCGAGGACGCGGACTGTATTAAATGGTTACAATTTCTTCGAAGTGTTCATTCGGAAGTGCCGATAAGTTAATTAAGCGGTGACGCGATTGTATACGCGAAATTATATGGCCGATTGAACGTTACGTCACATAGAGCGCGATGAAACGCGACAGACATATATATCTGTTATTATCGGATATGTACGTCACGCTAATCTGTCCGATATCTGTCTAAACTACGCATCTAATAATTTCTACAAACTTAATAATGTTTAATAAACATTTTATTAAACTTATCACTTTAAAAAGTATACATGCTTGACAGCATACATCCATTGTGTAAATTGTATTGCATAATATTGTTAAATATTGCTTATTATGAAATCGGATGTCTGGATAGAAAATTGAAGGCATCAATCGAATGCTAAAATGCTTTTAGTTCGAGCATAATCGCTTAGGACCGTTCATAGCTGCGCCTGTTTCAGGCTTGTATGAAGCGTGTCGGGGCCACCTCGAGCAATTACGTCGCAAAAGTTCGCTCGAAAGTTTTTCCACGCTTAACGAGCGTGATAAATTTCTGTTACGCGCCCCCGGGAGCGACCGGACGCGAGGCCGAGAGTTTACAACAGCGATAAAAATCTCGTTGAAATTATTCATGGACAACGCTTACGCTTCTCTCTTGTCTTCAGAAGAAGAAGGCAACTAACTTACTCCTCTGAGGACAATATCCTGCGAGGAGAAAGCGTCGCGCGTCCTAGCAACAGCGTCAATACGCATAAGAAAATGATTAGCTCTGAGAATGCGATCCTGGTTCAACTTATTTTAATGTGCGCGGATTAATTATTATTTGTATAAAATCTAGATATCTATAACGTTCATATTCTGTGTCAAGAGATGCAGTTTTACGAATAAAAGACAAGAAATGTTCAAGTTTCAGTTGTTTGATTTGGATTCGTGAGTACTAGTTCGTGGCCATCGCTGCAGACGACGACTAATTCGATTGGAAAGGGCAAGGAACGGTCAGTTCCGCTCCATCCTGCTATCCATAAATTAATTTGCTATTACTCGTACTCCTCTTTCTTCCTTTCACCGGCAGCGCATCACGTAACGACCTGCGACGGCTGATAAGTCAATCGAATGATTCGTTATACTAAAAAGTACATAAATTTCCACGAGCGCCGGAATAAATTAAATTATCACAATGATAAGCATAGATTATCTCGCTCGATACAGGCGTAATAATTTATATTCAATTTAAACTCTATTCACGAGACTGCTATAGCTTGTAGCTTGTAGCTCATTTTATAAATGAATCTTTCAATATTATACGACATCTTATTAAGTAAAAAATATATAACTTTGAATCTCGTCGCAAGCTTAACAATCTGACAGGCAATATTTCGATCTTCTGCTGTGCCATTTCTCTTCTCATTATCTTTCTTCTTATTACGAATCTTACTAAATTCAATATCGAATGACATACTCATACATACGCTATCGTAACAATAACAGTGCGGTCGGTTTATAAAGGTATCATATTTGTTTCCATCTGTAGAGCGTTCGTGATGAAATATGAGTGCACCAAAACATCATGCAACCTTACCGGTTGACAATCTGTCACGGTGTTCCAACAACGTTTGCCGAGCAGGCTCCAAATAACATCCACTTACCCGAGCTATAGCCATCCCTAAAGAACAGCGAGTAATCGCGCTGAAATAGTTACAGCTACAAACTCAATTTTGTCAGCTTGCCTGCTGGCAATCGATTCTTTTTGTCGTACCTTGTCAATCGCTACGATAGCATATCCATCAAATTGATAGAGGCACTTCTGATCGCCTCTTGTTCCCCTATCGTATTCCCATTGATTGCCAACCCACGCAAAGACACCCTCTTCTAATTTCGGTGAGTCAGTAACAACTTGATGACGCTATTGCTTGTCAAAACTTCCCCTGTTTTTATTCATGAAAATGATTGATCCATACAGTCACTTAAACATAGCGAACTCATAGACTCGAATTTAATACATTATGGACACTCACATATATTTACGTATCATATACTACTATACATTTCTGTGAGCAATAGTGCAACAAACATTCGAGAGAGAAAAAAAAGAAAAATAACAATTCATCAATTTTTATTAGAATTGACAGATTCAATTTAATCGGCTCAACGTTTAGTTCCTTATTCAGATTTTCTTTCTCGAAATTCACCCTCGATTTCAAATGCGAGTGATCAAAGATTTTTTTACTGAAGTATCTTCAAGAATTAGAAAAATATCCCATTAGAATTTAAAACGTTTTGTGATATCTTATTTTTTTAATTCGTCATTGTTTATATATTTTATATAGTTTATATAATATATTTTATATATAGTAAAATATATAGTTTATATATTCTTACTGCGTAGAAAATAAAATTAATTATTAGTTCAGATAATGATTCAATTTTATTATGCCAACAAAAACGATTAGCATAATTTCCGTTGATTGATTAGTTGATATTATTGTGTACCATAATTTTCTAGCAATCAGAGCATTTATTACTGACAAATTGGACTATGACCCGATGAAATCGGCCACATTCGTTAGATAACGGAATATTATCGACAATTCAAGATACTCACTTTATGAAATTTTCAAGCAGTAACCGGATACCACCGATACCTAGCAGTAAGAAGCCCCAGTTGACAAATCCCGTGAAATTATCGAAGCCCGAACTCCAAGAAAAGAGACTATCTCTTGGACGGTGACATCTGAAAAAGAAATAAGAGAACTTGAATAAACCATTTTTCATTATTTATTCGTTATTATAGGCAATGTCGCCGATAATTTTTCAAGTCACTTTGCAAAATGTGTTACATAATAATTATTGAGTTCCTCAAAGATTGAATTATGTAAGTAATATCTTTCATGTATATTTTGTATTCGCCTCTTTACGATCTCTTTATGCACAATGAGCTCGTTATTATACGGAAATTCGATAATAGACCGAGCTCCAAGTAGCTATGAAGGGGAAGAAGGTATTAAGGAGAATGTTCTCATTCTGGTGCCATACTAGCAAAATTCTCCTTGTGCGCGAGCAGTATGAAGAAAGACGTATATGAACGTCATAGGGATGAGAATGGGACAATAAAGGGGCTTTCATATCGCACGGTTATACATGTCCTTATATCAATTTACGGACTGACGTATAGTTCACACGTGACGACGTGGTAAATGATATGAGTCAGTTTTATCGCAATAAAAGATGCTCGTTATATGACGGACGTTCAAGCAACCAATTCAGAGACATCCCATGGGAGCTGCGATTCTCGCGTTTTCCTTGTGGATCTAGATAGCAAAATGTAGTTTATAACGGACGATCATAGCAAAATTACTATTATCGTGCACAACTCTCTCACTTTGTGCTCTCGACGGACATTGCTTTGCGTTCGGCAGGCATTCAGGACATCGCAAATTTCGTTTAGACCGCGCTCCGTTGGGGTATCAAAGTGGGCAGTAATAATGCATCCCGGTCCTGCGAAGATACACAAATTGCGTGTTTCACTTTCAGAACATTTATCTCTCTCTAGGGCGCTTCTTTTTAAAAAAATCCTTTGGTGCTCCATATATTATTAAAAAAAATAATTGCAAAATTAACGACAAAAAGAACTAATAAGATAAACAATCAAAAAGACAGTCTCAAGATCACGTTTTAAAAAATAATTAAATTTTATATAAAATTGTTTAAAGTTAACACAATCTCATCGTGTAATTTTTTAAAATAAGTGACACTTTAACGAGCATCTTCCACGATTAGTGATAACCAATTCATTTATTTCCTCGCTATTATACTCTCTTTATGATATGACAGTAGTGGCTCATCCGACACGGTAAACCGTTATCATGAATCGCGCGAGTACGCCTTCTCGGTCAAAAATACAAGAGGCACTCGAATGTTTTGTGCGCCATAAGACAAAACCCTTTCGAAAAGTTTATACGATGGTCCTCGTCGACCCTTGTCGCGAACGCGCACCCAACGGGGGGATGACAGACGTGTATTGTGGAAGCCGATTATGGAGACGCATCCGATATATAATCCACCCTAGAGACACCAAAGACAAGAGGGTTTTGTGTTACAATCCCCTATCATATAGATATATACCATTCAGATTTCATGCACGGAGTATTGTTGACGATGCGCACTTGCCAGTCACGCGAGAGAGAGAGCGGCGCACCATATGGAATCTTCGATATCTAAAGTGCTTATTGGACGTACATGACGATGCGAAAGAAGTACGTACTAAAAGGATCTCTCAAATAGTACCATGGTGAGTCGATTATTACATAGCAAAGAACAAAGGCACTATATGGGACTTCTATTCTGACACTTTGTACTGAAAAAGCCTTTTAATACACTTAATGTATTCTTAACGTACTCTTTATTTCTTATTCAAGCTCGCACTTGCAAAGCTGAAAAATAATTTTCTTTAAACAGAATTAAAAGTGTATTTTCTAATATGTATTCTAGCATATATTATTGCCACATTAAGATCAAGAAGTTTCTATGCAGTTTAAAGGCATATTCTTAAACAATCACTCTAATAATGTGACGCGTAAATTAATTAATTTATAAAGAATTATATCTCAAGTTTATGTTTTATTTCATGTTTCTCTATAATTGATTTTTACATCGGCAATAATAAATAACTGTACTTTAAATAAATTACGAATTACTATACCGCACTGAAAATAACATTAATGATATCCATAATCAATATACAAGAAAAATAAATCTCATATTATATTGAATTATAGCGATTCAATTTTGTCGACATTTCGATTGCCTCTTCGTGACCGCTAGTATTATGCCGTTATCGAGATAGGTCTTGTGACGCTTCTATACCACTTTCATGGAGAGAAGAACCTCTCGCCTTAAGTATTTACATGAAAGATCCTAGCGGAAACCCGGGGCGTGAGCGATAATATATATTTTTGAGATCGTGTCTCCTTAGAACTTCGAAGAACCACAGACTCGCAACCGAAAGGCCATGAAATTGAATTTATACATATATATATATATACTCTTCTAGATATTACAATTTAATTTCTAAATCGTATAATATAAATATCTTGAAAGATATGGCAAAAACGCAAATCTCCATTTAAGGAGGGTGGTTGCTTAAATCAATTTGATAAGAATTAGTTCAAATTTATGGAGAATGTTCGTCTATGGGAATCTGTCGTCCATGCCAAAGTTGAAGACAATTGTCTGCATGATTGTCGAGTAAATAATTATTGAAATTATACTCTTGTCTCTCTCTTATACACGGGTGACACAGGGCAAAAATGTTACCTAACCTGTAATGTAACTCTCGAAAGCATATTAAAAATGATAAGAATTTAATGAAAATAGGTGCAAATAATTCTTTACATATTTAGGAAGAACTTTCTCGAAGACTGAAATGATTTTTCTTTATATTAGTTATCAAGAAATTGTAAAAATAAAACAGGACTACATTTATTATTGCCACATTTCAACGTGGATAATAACGTATTTGGGAAAATTGTACAAACAACTCTTTTTAAACTTTAAGAAACAACAATTGAATGCATTCTACATATTTATTTGCTAAAATTCGTTTATTTCGCGCAACGAAAATCTATATGCTTTCCCGCTGCCGCGCCGCCTGCCCCGCAGCGGGACGTCAACCAACCTCCTTAAGATCTCTTTAAATCAAAATGCAAATTATGGTTTTAACTGTGAAAATGCAAGTTATTCCAGTAAAGTCATAAAAGTAATATGCTTGTTCATTATATGAGTTCATAATTATTCAAATTCTAGCGTCAAAGTTTTAACTAACTCAAGCTACTCAAAGGACACATTAAGCTAGTGCTCGCATTTCACCGTTACTCATTTTTTGCAATTATAATTGATTCATTTGTTGATACTGTACTTATCTGCAGAGATTGCGTATCTTAACAATACTTGATAATTATGCAAGTATTTCATTCGATAAAAACAAGTACGATAATTGATTTCACAACGTAATAATATCCACAAAATATATTTTTTTATTATTCCTTTTCTTACACAAATATTCTGCTGTAGCATACTTTATATTTTCTTAAATATAAAATCAAATTTTAAAGTCTTAAATATTTAACAACTATAATAATTAAAAAATACACAAGTACAATTAAAAAATTTAATCTAATGATAACTAACACATACTTCATACATTATCTATATAAAGTAAACAACTAAAATCACTGTATATATGTAATAAAATTATCAGTTTATTTTAAAAAAATATCATCAGCTGTGAAAGGTCTGCAAAAGTCCGTAGTTGTAATATTTACACTTGTACATATAATTAGCTCTGATAAAAACTTACAAATATCTATTATAAAAAATGTATGATATCTATAAAATACGTTACATTTTGTGTACGTAACTCAATGGAAAATCTGGGCAGATTAGAAACGTGTAACGTAGAAACGTATATTAATTATATTTTATATATTAATAATTTAATCTTTTAAAAAAATATATTTACTAAATATATGCTGTATATTTCAAAAATGCATAATACACACGCGAATAAATAGCGCGCGCGTAATGCGCACATCGTTATTTTCTAATTATTATAAATTTTCACAACGGCGACTTCACAGCGATGACGATGCAATTTGCCTGGTGAAGAATTCCGTCGGTTTTGCGTACAAAATGTAACAGGCGAACGTTATATATCGCCCTGTCGTAATTACCCGCAGCTATCCTCAGCGCGGTTTCTGCGTGCATTCAGCAGCATCGTCGCGCGCGTTTCCCCACTGCCCCGCAGACAACAGTCCCCCTAATAAACCCTCTCGACCTGTACGCCGTAACTATTACTCAGAATTTATGGCAGATCGCGATAATTAATAGAGCCGCGATAGAAACGGCGGTTTGCGCACGAAGAGCTATCTCTCGCGCTTCTGATATTGGGGCAGCATGGCGAACAGGACGCAGACGTGTCGCACGGAAATTCCATATGCATGAGAACGATGGACTGGATATGTCCAAAGTGTCACGACCAGCGTCTTCGGGAAACGTTTCAGATACGGCTATACGAATACATTTACGATCTTTCGACTTTTGTCACCCGGTTTGCGAAACACAATGAGTCATTTAGTATGAGATAAACGTCGATCCATACGATATCAGACAAGTGACGTTATGATACAACGCTTCGTCATCCTTCGATCAATGTCCCGTCCTGGAGAAATACGGGCGTACTTTTGAACTTTACTTATCGACATTATTTTCGACTCCCGTTCCTCCGTAAATAGTAACATTATTATATTTATACATATTGATGGATTAGGGCCGACGATGTCGTCTTGTCAGGTTGAGAAAACCGTATACTTGAAACTAGACACGCGCTCTCGGATGATTTATCGGGATTGTTGGCGGTACTTTTTAGACCAAGTCCAAGCGGCATCCGCTCGTGATAAGTTGCAATATCATACTTTAGTCCACTTTCTGACAAACCGCGGCCATAGAGGAGCAAAAAAGGATCAACTAAGTTGTCGTTGCTCTTCCGGGACCCGGAACTGAGAGACGCGCTCCCTGAGCGCGCGCGCGCCACTTTCTTGTCCCTCCAAGGCAAATCGCTTCCGCTTTCTTGCAGTGGACATATTACGGGTCGCGGAAAAAGTTTCTCTTAAGCGAAACTTGCGCTAACGCGACGAGTTTTCGGCACGTAGCCGCCGTGGCGTCCCTTGATCATCGACACCGCGATCGCGCGCGCAACTTTGGCGTCGAGTTTTTGCTCGTAACGCTCGACGAGGACCCGTTTTTCTTCACCGGTGTGGCGGCGAACGTGACTTCGAACCGATCCGCGGATTTAATTGAACTCTGAGTTTATGATCGCTGACGCACCCGAATGGCGATTGATTTCGCCATTTTGACGCTGTCTGCATATAACGAGGTTCCGTCTCCCTACCGTCTTTGAATCCGCTAATAAGAATAAACGTTTGAATAAATGACCTCTCATCAAAATCATTTTGCTGTTACATTTCTATTCAGAAATAAGTACATTTCATTTAAAAAAGGAGTAATTTACTTCTCATTTCAAACTTATGAAAATCCCGATTATGAGTCTTGTTGAAAAAAATAATGAGCAACAATGATTTTGTGTTATTTTTCCACCAAGATAATATTATCCCCATAATATCATATCCCATTGCCATTATTTCCATCCTGCATTATTGCGTCTAAGTTGTAAATCTCCGTTAGAAATGGTACTGATGTTTCTTTTTTTATTTATTTTTGTCTAAAGCAAAATCTACCCTTTTGATAAGTACGCATGAGCAAGTGCTATCTGTGCAAATTATTTTGAAAGTTTACTCGCGTCTGAAAATAGCGAGAAAAAAAACAAACAAGCAAACGCGGATCAT